TGGCTGCCTCATTTCGGACAATTCTCACCACCTTAAATTTGTCCAATTTGTCAATCCAATTAAAATTTAATCATTTAAACGAATATTTAAGGAAATAGGTAAATTTGAATTTGAATTTATATATTGAGCAACCAGTTATACACGACGGCAGCGATGATGTGACAAAATGGTTGAACTAAAGTTAATTGGGCAATTGATCTATAGCTGTCGCCTAGGAATCTCTGCAACCAGCAATGTCCACATTTTTCTTATATGTTTGTATTTAATTCAATACTTTCAACAATTATTAAAAACTTACACTATTACCTTTTCATCGACTAAATAGTAATGATATTAATTGGATTGAACATAAACGAGTAATTATTATTAATTAGCATATGCAATTGTGTATACACGAGTAAGGTAAAATTTAATTGTTGATTCAGCACTTCACCCATAGATGTCAGAGTGCAAACAAAATAATTGAATCTTCATCTTCAAGAAGTTTCATGTGTCTTCACTCTTCACCCTCGCTCTAATCCACCTTCTTAGAGTTAGTCTGTCTAACACCGATCTCTGCTCCTGTGGATGTCCAAACAAAGCAGTTGTTACAAGAACTCTACCTTCCACCATCTCTTCAATGAACATTCAGTTGCCAACTTCCGTATTCTTTTTAACGCAAAATCGTCTAGAAATACTTAAAGCTTTAGCCAATTTTGTTTTCGCCACCCATACTTCCCTATAAAATAACAACCACTCCGATGTCTTCCCAATATCTCTTCAGAATAGACCCCGATTCGAACTCCATCTATCCTCAAAACTTTCCACTACAATACTCATTGCGATTGGTGTAATGCGTCGATAGGGCGCATCTAAATGGAGAAGAGGCTTTTCCTAGTGGAAAAGAAACAAAATTCTTAAATCTCTTTGTTTTAATAATGCAATCATACCTTTGACTTTGTTTGTTTTTTTTTGATTAGTTATTATATTTCGGCAACCAAATGTACTCGGTCGAGCGAAACCAAAACAAACATAAACGTGTTGTCAAAGTGGATTTCAGTGTTTATTTGTTTATTTGTAGCTCTTCGCGTGTTAAATATGTGATGTTGATGAGTGTGAACTAGAGTAAATTTGTTGCAACGGAATAAATCTTACAAGAATGTCCGGGCGACTGGAGGTGATCTGGACTCCTGTCCACGATAAGTTCATCACATGGGGTTCAGATTTTTCCCTTTATCAGGTGGAGAATATCAGGGAGGGATTCAGTGCAGGTTGACTATTGCGTTTGATAATCAATCTCATCAATTCACTTGTAAATTGTTTATCTGCAGGATGTCGGATGTCGAGCAGCACTGGTGCCAATTTGTTGGCCTCAACCCCAAGCACATACTTTGCCAAGTGCGTGGATGTGTACCCGCAATCAGACAAAGATATTCTGCTTGCTATTGGATATACAAACGGTCGAATCATATTGACCACATTCGGACCTACGATTTACGATTCACAGGGGATACCAAAAAAAGAGCTCTGTTAGTAATTTTTTAGCTGTTAGCTTATGTTTTTTGTTGATTTTTAATTAGTTCCTAGATACCCGAGGCAGTGCAACGCAGTCGCATGGAATCCGATTGATGTGAACAAAATCATTGGTGGTTTGGATAAGCACAGATCGGAGCATTCCGTGTTGCTATGGGATGTTGTCAGAGGCAGCAGTAACTATGAGAGCAGCAACAATAGGAATGCGGATCATCCGAGACCCATCAGCGAGTATGGTTTATCTGAGACCACGTACAGTTTGGCGTGGTTCCAGAACAACAGCAAATTGGTGGCAGCCGGGATGAGTTTGAAGAACATCAAACTAATCGATTTTAGAGGTGAAACACGATCTTTGTCTATTTCAAATTATTTTTTAATTAATTTTTAGATACGACCAAGGCGGCCACATCGACTTTAACTAAAGCGGTTTACGGTGTGTGCGTCGATCCACATAACGATCATTATTTAGCCTCGTTCCACGACTCGCAGATTTACGTGTGGGATGTGAGGAATTTCGAGAAATCGATGGTCTGCTTGACGCAACCCAAGTCCTTGATGAAGATCTCCTGGTGTCCTACCAAGTAATAATTTATCATTAATTAATTTTACACTACAATTAATAATTTTTTTTTTAGGCATAATCTATTGGGAGCTCTACACAAAGAATCATCGTTGATTCATTTATACGATATCCAGCAATCGGCTGTTGCCAACGAAGATTTCGAGCCTTCAGTTTTGGATCGCACCGTTGTTCCAGGTTCGAGCAAGAACTTAACCTCCTTCAGTTGGCACGAAACTGACGAGAATCGTTTATTAACCATCGCTTCTAATGGTAATTACCATTTCGTTTTTATATTCACAAAACTAATAGATTTGATTTTCAGGTTCATTGATCGATTACACTGTTTTCGAAAGCATCACCTTGAATTACGCTGCGAACTTCAACATGGTCTGGACGTATGGAAGGAAGACGATGAAGTGCATCAACAAGAGCAACGAGTTGTTTGCGAATTTGGATGATGTCTCGTACAGGATGATGGAGAGGGCCAAGAACGGTTACGGTTTGAAAGTGCGCATCCTTGTTGTTGTTGTTAACGAATGTTGTTAATTGAATTTGTTTTATTTACAGGATGAGTTGTACAAGAATGGTGAGCTGGTGGACGATGACGCCGCTTTGGCTAACGTTTGGAATTGGCTGTACTACAGCGAGAAACTGGTCGCGGATGGAACCGTGAAGAATACAAATTCGAAACATCCGGGCGTGAGAGACGTCCTCAAGTTGGATGCGAACGCGACGAAGAGTGAAGCACATTCCACCACGTGGCTGGATCTTCCTGCGACCAACAATCTCGGTGTCATCAAACAATATAAGTATTACGGATTTTTATTAATATTATTTCGTTTAATTGATTATGTTTGTTTGCAGTCACGAGGATCGGGATTGCGCGCTGAACCTGTGCGGATGGCACATGGATACGGAAAAGTTCCTGAAGTTTCTCGATAGATTGGCGGAGAAGAACGCGCATTCGAGGGCTGCAGCTTTGGCGGTGTTCAATCTTCGGCTTCGGACTGCGATCGATATTCTGCACAAAAGTCCGGACAGGAATCTGAATGTGGTCGCGATGGCTCTGGCGGGATTCACGGACGACAAGAACAGCATGTGGAGACAGTTCTGTTCGAATCCGAAGGTGAAGATGAGCGATCCGTATTTGAGGGCGATGTTCGCTTTCCTCACAGCGGAGAACGCGAATTACGATAACGTTCTGGTAAGTTCATCGTGGATGCGTGGAATTGAGTTTTTGTTAATTCTTTGTTTTAGAATGAGAACGAGATTTCGGTGGATGATCGTGTGGCGTTCGCGTGCACTTTCCTCTCCGATTCGAAGCTCAATGAATATTTGAAAAGTCTGACGACGAAGATGATCAGCGAAGGGAATTTGGATGGGATGCTTCTCACTGGTCTGTTTTATATAATATAATATAATAGTTACGTTTATAACGTTGTTGTTGTAGGTAATAATATGGATGGAATTCGTCTGCTGCAACGGTACTTGGATATAACTGGTGATGTACAATCGACGGCTCTGGTTTCGGTGCGTGCGTTCGGTGCGGATCTTCTGCAGGAGACTCAAGATTGGGTGCTGAGTTACACTAATCTCCTGGACACGTGGCAGCTGTGGCACGAGAGGGCCCTCTTCGATGTGATGTTCCAAGCGCAGAGACCGAACGATAAGCCGCGTCAGCAGGTGTTCGTCTCGTGCAAGTTCTGCGGTAAAAGCATCTCCGCTTACATGCACGGTTTGAACAGGGGCAGAGGAACGTTCTCTAGGATGGGTGTGACCGCCAACAAGATGAAGATGTCCGCGTGTCCGCACTGTCGCAAACCGCTCACCAGGTGCGTGATTTGTCTGATGCATATAGGGACGACGACGGGTGTCCAGGATAACGGTGATACCGAGGCGAATAAACTGGTGGACTTCTCCAACTGGTTCACTTGGTGTCAGACTTGCAGGCACGGTGGCCACTCTTCGCACATCATCAATTGGTTCAGGTAATTACCAATCTTCTTCATCCATCATCTTATAAGATTGTATTTATTTTCCGTGTTTGTTTGGTAGGGAACATTCCGAATGCCCGGTGACGGCCTGCACGTGTCGCTGCTTCTCCGTCGACACGATAAGCGCGAATCCCACCAAATAGTTTCGAATCAAGAACATCCCGATTCATTATTACGTAAGCATATTTTTCGCACTTTAAGTACACAAAACATTTGTATGATGTATGTATGTAGCATGAATATTAATATATAAATTTTATATGATAAAAATGCACGTAATTATTTATGCTCATACCTACAATTGCCCTTACCTTCCAAAAATCCTATACATTTCTAAAATTGACTTAAGTTATTAATTAATATATCAAAAGACGCACAATTCTCGACATTTTTCGCGTTTTGAAAATTAATTTGAATAAGTAAATGAAAATAGTTTGGTTTTACGTAAATATATATATATTATATTTTTACTAATATAATAGTTGAGTTTAGAAAGTCCGTTCTTGGGGAAGATAATCAGCAACGATTTCAATCATTGAATTACGTTTACACATATAATCGATGTTTCTTTGTTTGTTTCTACTTTCGTTTGTTCTTTAAACTATCAATTGTTCATTCTTCTATAAACATATGCAAAAACAATTCATTGATTTTGTTTTCAAATCTCATTTATTCATTACTGTTAAGTAATTCAAAATTTTGAAAATTAAAGGTAGGCTAATTTTTTTGAAATTTTGTTAATTCTAGTGATTTCAGTGTTACCAAAATACTTTTATTTGTATTGTCATCATGTGAAGATTCGTATAATTCGTTTGTAAATGTTTATGGTGTAAAAATAGCTTTGATAGTTTTCGTGGAAATTACAGAGTTTTTAGTGTGTGAAATTTGGCAACAATTTTCATCAAAAAACCACTAAAATATTTAATGAAACACATGAAATCGACACGTTTATATCTAATATTGTTGAGATACTAATACATAACGAAAATTTTGTACAATTTCATAAATTGAAAAAAAAAAAATTAGTGAACTTTGAAATCGATTTTCTCAAAATTTGTAAATATTAATTTACATATTTTTACATTCATTTTATTCATAAAAATGTTATCTTTAATATACACTAATTTTCATTAAAATCGCTTCACTAATTATCGAGATATACGTGAAAATAACGTTTAAGTTCATAATCAAGTTAAATTTAAAATTGATTTACTCATAATTTGTAAACATTCATTTACATATTTTTATATTCATTTTATTCATAAAAAAGTTATCTTTAATATACACTAGTTTTCATTAAGATCGTTTTACTCTAATTATCGAGATATACGCGAAAATAACGTTTAAGTGCATTATCAAGTTAACTTTGAAATTGATTTTCTCATAATTTGTAAACATTCATTTACAAATTTTTACATTCATTTTATTCATAAAAAAGTTATCTTTCATATACACTAATTTATGCATATACATTTATGTATTATATAGAATAATACAATTATCGGTAATTTTGTATAGTTT